TTAGCTTGCAGAGATATGACGCGGTGGGACGAGTTGTCCCGGGTCATGTGGATAACAATTCGCGTAGTGTAACGAGCAGCAGGGCTTCACTGGAATCTCGTGAATTGGGATAGAGCAGAGGTTGGCAACCTTTCAAAGAATAAGAACCATTTTTGTTGTATTTGACCAAAATAGTTCGAGAGCTGCATCACACGCAGTTACTTGTACACAAACACAGCAGCAGATGTCCAATACATTCTGACTTAAACGGAATAGGTGATGGAATAAACTGCGTCTCTTTAGCTATTCCCCCCCCCCCCCCCTTCGTTTTCCTTTAACAATACAGTTTTACTGTACATTTTATCGTCACCAAGACATTCCATAGTGACCCACCCCTTGCCATATTTAATAAATTATGTTTACGTAAAATGATGGTTCACATTTACGGTTTTTTATTAAACCGCTGCCCGCAAAGAGGAAGCCAAAGAGCCGTCGCATGCGGCTCTGGAGCCGCAGGTTGCCCACCCCGAGGATAGAGTCATGTGACTTGGTGAGGCTTTTCCGCGTAAACAAAGTTAATAAACAATTACATATATTACACACAGAGAGACCAACGGCCTTGCAAACCACCACCGAGATGAATATTGAGAATATTTCTGCTCCAGGGAAATATTTGTTGTTGTTTTTCTGGAGCTCAGCCTCACTGGACCTTTGGATATACTTGTGACGTAAAACTTTCGCGGCTGCAGGAATTCATATTCTATTGTTCTTTCGGTAAAGTCACGTAGATAGAAAAAATAACAATCAAATAATATAAGTAACGTTAATACAAATATCACGACGTTTCTATCGCAACACAAGCGGTCCTCATCAGGAACAGAATGATGACGACCGCTCCGTGACTTTACCGAAAGAACCATAGCATATTGGATACACTTGAAAAAGAGCATAGCTCATCGGTTTTCTCCAGGATAAATTAAGATTCTGATTCTGAACTCCAGACTGAAATGAAGCCCTGGCTATTGGGCAAATGGCATTGTACAAACGCAAGGTAACGGATAGCAGGAACAATTAAGAGCGCGCCAGTGACCTCGAGCCGATAATGAAAACATTGTGACGGAGCCAATTGAAGCATCGCGACAGCTGCGACAGCCACCCCGGGCGAATGATCAAAATAGCCACGCTGCGGACGGAGCAAGTATTCTTAAAGATGTTGTCACACAAGCACACGCACGGACACTCTCTCGCGACAACCTACAATGCATCACTTGCCGCGAGTTATTCTGAGCGAACTCCTGTGCGGCTGTCGCCCTTTATAATTTGAACAAGAATAACAATAATAATTTACAGGCCTTTGTCAATCCACTTCTGGATGAAGGACTCCCTTCCATCTTGGTCGGGTCGGTTTGATCTCCGTGCTTGTTTGATTATATTTCAACACGCTGAGTACCGAGTGCCTTGCACTCTTCTGATGAGTCCTATTCTTTACGAAACTGGCATATGGTCGTTCTATCGCTGCCCTCTGCGGCCCATCACAAAGCCCCGCGGCTGCCTATAACAACCTGACATACATCATGGTCAGAATCTGAATCTGTATGTATACTGGAGGAATCCGATGCGTTATAGAGCTATTTTTCACAGATGTCTGTTGGGGCGGGTCAGAATGTTACAATGATGGCCACCCATCCCTGCACTTTGCAGGCTCACACCTGCTCAGCTTCCGGCGAGATTGACCATTGCCTTTAATAACGAGGAAAACAATCATGTACAGCCCTCTTGTCGATCCACTGCTGAAATTAAGACCTACCCATGGCCGTGTCACGATCGGTCTTCAGAGGAGTTTGACAATATTTCAACATGCGCTGGATGTCCACTGCTGAAGGATGGAAGGTGGTAGACCGGGTGAGATATTACACTACCCAACTTGCCAGAGCACTTTTGCAAATGAGACTCGTCTTGGCCTTTCGCGCTTGAGCTATCTCACGTGGTTAAACAAAATGAACGTGGCTTGATGTTAGCCGAGCCCGTAGCGCAGAACCAATCACTGCGCCAGTGCTCCCCCATCACGTCCTTTATAAACGGTGATATCAATCGGTTTGTTCACATTGGCCGCGGTGTGACTAAACTGGCATACACAAACATAAACGACCTCCGGTTCAAGTATCTTCACATAACTCATATAAATATTTTCTTTAGTCTATGCCTCTTAAATTTTGAGTCCACACATCACACATGTTAACTAACAGCAGTGTCAGCATGTGTTCTAGCTCGCAGACAGTGGACCCCTTTCGCCCATTTTAAGGCTCATCAGCGGAGTCTGACTTTTTATATTTTAATAACAAATACAACTGGTTCACAAGATTTGTATTTTGTGAGAGCACTCTTTCCAAACCACGGGCGACCCGTCGGTATAGAACTATCTTATTATCGGTGAAAAGGCAGTCCAATATTGAGGATGATTCCATTATCCGTAGGGTTATCCGCGATTTTAATCCTCTTATCCACGAGGGGAATATGCGATCACAGATGACCCCGCGGATAATCGGAAGAAAGTGCCGTTCTACTTTTCTTATCCGTGAGAAAAATCGCGAGTATTAGGAAGAAGCTTTTTGCCACGCATGGCTAAAATCGCGGATAATAGGCTGAAATACATCCGTGGATTATAGGAGTGTTTTGTGAATGATAAGATGAGTTCTCCCGTACTAAGAAAACAACTCGCGCGCTGTAGAGGGGGCAGTGTGGAGCTATACGTGTTGGACATCCCCATTCAGTGTCGCTGCTATTGCGACTAACAGCCGCAATTCCATTGACAAACCGATTCTTTTTCCTCTCATTTTTACTGCATCGTTCGTATTGATTCTCGTGACTGTTTTCTCTGCGCCTCTTTTGAATCTGTTCTCTATTAGCCTTTTAAAATGATATGATTAGTCCGTATATAATAACTCACTTGGCTCAACAGTCTCACATTGCAGCTGATTCACCCCATGTTATTGTGATGTGATAATGGGATTATTATATTTTTTAAGATACCTATTTAAGATGAATACTAAACCTTCAAAATATCCAATTGATCGCAAGTGTAAAGATAAAATAATCAGCGTTAGGAGGGGCGTAAAACCTAAATGCCATGGCAAATGCATCACTTGTAAACTCAACTGCTAGTTTGCTAAAGATAAACATGCATTGGAATACCATCACCACATCACTAAAGACTCACTTATATACTGATTATATACAACAGTGACTGGGCTACGTCATTTCTGATGATGTTCTAGAAGGAATGCAAACAACACATCCGCCAATAACGTTGCGTGTACTTAAACGTAAAATATGTACTGTACAGTATAATAAGCGACGTTTCGGGTAATGGCCCTTCTTCATAGCAGATACATTTATTCATATGAGGAAAGGTAATTGCCCAAAACATCGCCCATTACATACAGTATATTGTCACACTGTTATTGACGAATGTGTTGAGTTATTTTTATTAATTGTGCACCACTGCCAACGCACCAGCAGCATCACCAAATCATGCATTCTAGATGAAAGCGAAAGCTGAAATATTGAAGGAAAGGAGTATAGCCTATGTCCATAATTAAAAAAAATATCTGAAAACTAATATTTTTTTAGGGCCCCTAAAATTACGGCCGGCACAGAGGTTATTAATCAGTTGCACTCGGAGAGCAAGGTTCATCTTCTAAGTTCTACTTAGCTCATCGTCTCGTGTGAAATCCACACGAGAACGAAGTCAATTGCCTCCCGTGGAGTGTGACGCTAGAGCCGATAGAGCGCGGGTAAAGCCCATATCGGGGCCATCCATTTAGTAGGTACGCAAACATCTGTCAAAACTTGACCCCCTCCTCCCTGTACGCACGCGTACTTTTTACCCCCCCACCTGCGTACGTACGCTTGACCCCCCCCCCCCTCCGAATCCTATAGAACGGCCGATATTTAATCCACGGGGAAACGATGAAGGATTAATAATATTAATGTGTTTAAGCTAACAGATCGTCCACCGCCGGACCATCTAACTCATTTGAAGGCCAATGTAGATAAATTATTATCGAGGCTTCACCCCCCCCCCCCGTTTACTATGCGTACATTGTCAGTTGACCCCCCCCCCCATACGCAAGCGTACGCATTTGGGTTAACCCCCCCTCCCCCCTCCATGCGTACGTACTAAATGGATGGCCCCATACCAGTCACTTGTGAGTTACAACAAATATTTATCTTGAAATAAAGTTAAAAAATCAATAAAATTGTAAAAACTGCGTTCTGTATATCCACTAGAAATATAATTCGATCATGAAACAGAGGCATGCTGATGTGCCTGACGAAGAAAATATTTCTGAATAGATCCATGCAATTCCAGGTTAATAATATACACTGATTAAACACGTTCTTGTTTTGGTACATCGATTTATACATCGCTTTTCATTCAGTTGAGTTTTCCAAAATCACGCCATCCAACGTGCTCTCATCCACGTCACACGTAACGATACATGGCACGTCACATTAATATTTATCCAGAAAAGTCCAATGACTAATTTTCAGGAGGGTCCTGCTATTTACATTGAGGTGTTTAATTTAAGATGTTTTCAGACAATTTTTTAAGTTGTTTATATACAGGTGGGAGGAAACCCGGAGCAAACGGAGAAACCCCTCCGCATGCAAAGTGGGCAACACCGAATCTCTGGTACACACGGAAACAAGACGGGAGATTCGTCCACTTGCTGTCCTGCCAAGCCAGGGTTATGGCAAACCCGTCGACGCTCAGGGGGGAAGGAAGTTTCACAATCCTTGTGTGAACCTCCAACCCTCGCTGCGTTTACAGTGTTGTATTAACAAGCTGCGTGTTAAACCACCACCTGCTCGGCTCATGGGTAAAAACAAAGTGGACGATGACACTGGCATTTAGTCGTAAGCGAGAATCGAACTTGGGTGGCCACGTTTTGTAGTGCAGGGCGTTACACGACCGCGGCGAAGCAGAGCGACCAAGCAAACATAGGGGGAGACCTCACCGCGGCCAGCGTTCTTGATGAACCCGATGATGGTCTCGATGTCCTCGTCAAGCAGGATGCGGTCGGTGAAGACCTCGTGTTCCAAGAATGGCAGGTGATCTTTGAGCACCGTGTAGATGCCCTCGGTGATGAAGTAGTTGGTCCGGTCGTCCACATTCTCGTCTTCGTAGATCAACACGGCGCGGTGCGTCCAGTTGAAGTGCCTGTGCATGTGCATCGCGAACTCCCCCAGCTTGTTGTAAGAAGGTCCCGTGCGGGTGACCAGCGCGTACTCCTGGTCCTTCTGAAAGCCCATCGCTGGCGCTCCTCCTGTGATCATGGGCATCTTCCAGTGCGTGCTGAAGCGAGCCACGGGCGCCGACGTGTAGACACAACCGGGTCCCACGAACGCGTCTGGCGGCTTGGAGCTCAGCTTGAAGTCCACCGCGGTCAGCTGAGCCACGGACACCGAACAGAGGCCGCTCACCGGGTCCTCGGAGTTGCCCCGGTCATACCTCAGCCGGTAGCCGGGTAAGAGGTGGACATCTTGGTTGATTCTCTCCATGGCCAGATCTATGGCAGGACCGGTCCAAGGCCACGCGAAGTCGTAGGCGTCGTTGGAGTTGGGTAAGATGATGCCCATGTTGATGTCCTGGAGGGCCGCGTCGTTGTCCGAGTTGGGAGAAGAGGCCACGAGGCAGCAGACGCATAGAGAGGCAAGGAGGCAGCAAAGGCGTGCGGGTGCCGGCATGCTCACGGCGGCGATCTCACGCTCGGCGCGTTAAAACACAAAACACCGCGTGGACAGCAACTCTCCGAAGAACTTGGGCGGCACGTCAAGACCGGCTCACAGACCTCGAGAGTTCGACGTTCTTTGTTGCTCTTGCTTGCCTTCCCTTTTATACCGTGTCATATGAGCCTTTCCCCTTAATTACAATTGATTGCGTCTCTTAAAAATGTACCAACCACATTAAACAAAAAACTACACTAATGTTATAACAATGATTAGTTGCCCACTTAAACAAAAAAAAAAACAATACGCGAGATGATGATCTCGCGTGAGCTCAAATTGAAATGACCGCTGTGGTATATTGTCCACTCGCCCTGCCACTCTTCGTGCTGCTCGTCTGAGCCACCTCGAGAGGCCCAGGAATGACGATGACGAAGATGGTGCAGCAGCCGGTGACCCCCCCAGGGCACAGTGAGCAGACTCCGCGGCGCTTGGAAAGTGCCCGCAGCATGGTCGGTGGTGCTGCTCCTTCGCCCGTGCCCTGCAGACTCGATGCGCGTGCCTTGTGGGAGGGAAATCTTTCCTCTGGCCGCCTTCGAGGTCGAGTAGTTTTGCCTGCTTACCAGCTTAGCGCTTGTGGGGGAGAGATGTAGAGGAGTGAGTGGGATTGAGGGGCGTTGGAAGTGGAGGGTGGTGGGGAGGGGTGGAACTTGGTGGAGAGGTGGTGGGGTGGCGCATATCTGGTGGGCTTCGGGTGAGTACACAGCTCACGGGATGCGAGTAAATGCCTCACCACAGTATGAGAACACACAGCTTGTAGACATACGACATCTAACGCCTCTATATTGCAACTGCAATTGCTCCCATCCGCCAATCCCATTTTGGACAGACCACCAGCGTAAATACTGCACGGCAGTGTTCTTCACAACATTTTAGAGGGGGTCCACTTTCGCCGATAAGGCATCACTGTTGATAGCCGCCGTACATTTGAAACCATCGGGTTTGACGGCAGCACGATGTTGGGGTGTTTTCACGTTTGTGTGAGGCAGCACGTCACGGGCCGCACTAAAGGCCATCAGGGGTCACCAGTGGCCCGCGGGCGTTACAATTAAGAACACTGCTGGACATGGTGGTCCAAATGTCTTGTGACCCGCAATTAATTGACCCCTAACATTTTTTCCTGCGCATATTAATTTCAGTTTTAAACAAACATTACTTAACACATTAAGTTTTGGGAAATTATAAGGGGGTCACAGGACATCTGGACCACCCTGTAGTTTGCTACAGGACAGTACAAGTACTCTATATTAAGTCAAAAGCCTATCCCACCGATCTCAAAAGACTTCAGTGCATCTTTAAAGACTCTCCTCTAAGATCACGTTTATCAAATATTAGATCACAATTTGGGAAAATGGTCAATGTATATCAGTCGGGTTTTTATAAACGCATCACCATTTAAATTAAAATGTACACATATAGTCAGTCCTTTTACTGGTAGGAACATCCTGATTACACCAGCTCACAGGGGATGATTGTGTCTGTCCGTCCGTCGTGCATCCAAAAATGGGAGGGGTGGGGTTGGGTGGAGAGGGGAGGGTGGGAAGGGTGGGGCTGGGTGGGGAAGGGGCTGGTCACCCCGTGGTGCCCTTACAAAACTCAACGTTTAACCTACTCACGCCGGCTTGTGCCCGCCCTCACAGTCGGCCATATTTGCGGAATACACCACGCCGCCGTTGACCCTGGCCATTGACCGAGCAACCCAACGTTCCTAGCAGCTCCCTCCGCAGGAATGTGGTGTCAACCCTAAGGACAAGCGATTTCCGACGTCGTGACGGTTTATGGTCATTTGCCTATACTTCCCCCACACTGGGGAGTGCGATTTAGTGAAGTAGTTTGCCGATAATCGGTTCTGATATCACCCCAGCCGTGGCCGAGAGTCAAACTCGACTGAGGTTCGATCGCCGGTTTCATTGCGCAATGCGATATAATTACCGCTCCACCGTCAGTCAACCTTCAATTGTCCATTGCTTAGATTCGTGGCACCACCTGCTGGCAGACGATAGTGTTCATATTTAATGTGCGCATAATTGTCGTGGCGTTAACCCACCAGGGTTAGTTGTTATTAGGGTTAGGGTTATTAGGGTTAGGGTTATTAGGGTTAGGGTTATTAGGGTTAGGGTTATTATGGTTAGGGCTATTAGGGTTATGGTTATTAGGGTTAGGGTTATTAGGGTTAGGGTTATTAGGGTTAGGGCTATTAGGGTTAGGGTTATTAGGATTAGGGTTATTAGGGTTATTAGGGTTAGGGTTATTAGGGTTAGGGTTATTAGGGTTATGGTTATTAGGGTTATTAGGGTTAGGGTTAGGTGTTAGGGTTAGGGGTTAGGGGTTAGGGTTTAGGGTTAGGGTTATCTTCGCATCAGCTTTTGGCTATTAGGGTTAGGGGTTAGGGTTTAGGGTTTATGGTTAGGGGTTAGGGTTAGGGGTTAGGGTTAGGGGTTAGGGTTAGGGTCATCTTCGCAGCAGCTTTTGGCTAGTCAGATGCACTTCTGCTGCCGCCTGGAATGTTCTTCCTTCCGATATTAGGAAGTCACTGGAGCTACATGTTTTGAAAATCCAGATTGAAAATACATTTTCTTTAGAACTGCTTGTTGTGCTTGGTTTGTTGTCCTTCCCCCGCACCTCCGATGAGCATGGTTGGCTATGTACGGTGTGAAATAAGTTCAACATACGCACCAATATGAACACTCACTAAATAACCTAACCAACATAGACACTCGCTAAATAACCTAACCATCATGGACACTCGCTAAATAACTTAACCAACATGGACACTCGCTGAAATACCGTAACCAACGTGGTGCTGTAGCGCCACCGTGTGGTCACGTGGTACCACTGCAGTGCCTGGCGCGGTGACAGCAGCAGTGGCGCTGTGCGGCGTCTTCACGGCTTCATCGTCGCCAACCCGCTGGGGACTCACGCCAGGACGCCGCAGCAGCAGCGACTCACAACTGCGGGGAACGCGCGGGGTGACGCCGGACAGCGGCAACTGCTGGCGTACTGGGTTGGCCTACACTGCACATGTCCACCACATAGCAGACGTAACCACGAATTGAATGCTTGTGGTACTGCACTTGTCCACCAGAGGGCACACGTAACACGTCAAGCGCCGGTAAAAAAAACTAATCTCTACGGCCGATTTGCACCGCAATTCTTCATTTATTCACGGATTTTTTACAAGTAACAAACTACTGCATTGACATCCCAAGCTGTCTCATACGTTTACACCATTGAATATTTGGTGAACATCGGTGCTGAAATAGTGAAACGCACTTCATTCCCAAACAGTGCGCTACAAATCGGCAACAATCACACCCATCATTGACTTCAATGCAAAATGCCGCCCCGGTTCCACAAGTCACACAAGCAAGTGGTGGATGTCCTTCGACTCTACTCGACAAAGTCGAGCCATATACGATTCAACTCATCTCGCTGAGACGCGTTTATAGGCATATGGATTAGCGTTAGGGATTAGAGTTAGGGGTTCGGGTTAGGGTTTAGGATTAGGGGTTAGGGTTTGGGTTAGGATTAGGGGTTAGGGTTAGGGTTACGGTTTAGGGGTTAGTGTCAGGGTTCTGGGTCATGGTTAAAGGTTAGGGTTGGGGTAGTTGGGGTTAGGGCTCCTATGCCGTTTTTAGCCAAAATAAGCCCAATTTTCACTGCTTTATATTTGGGAAAAAGTTAATTCCTCTATTGTATTTAGCCTCATTGTGCTATGTATTAGATTAAAAGTCTAAAATTTCACGATGAAATTTTCACGTCCCACAAAAAGAAAATCGCCATACTCACCTTTGCCGTTTTGGCCAACATTGGCCAAATTTTTACAGTTTAATTTTTCAATAAAAGTGCAATCCTCGGGTGTGTTTAGCCTTAGTCTCTTATATATTACATCAAAAAGTTGGCAATTTCATCCATAAAATTTTCGAGAATTAAAAGTAAATCAGCATACTGGGCCGTTTTATAGACAAAATAAACCCAACTTTCACAGCTTTATTTTTCGACAAAAGTTCATTCCTCCATTGTATTTAGCCTTAGTATGCTATGTATTAGATTAAAAGTGGAAAATTTCACCATGAAATGTTCACGTTGCAAACAGTAAATCGGCATTCTATTCCGTTTTTTGCAAAAATTCAACAAATTTTTACGGCTGTATTAAAAAAAAAAGTGCATTCATCGGTTGTGTTTAGCCTGAGTATCCTATATATTACGTTAAAAGTGGGACATTTTACCACGAAAATTTAAAGTAAAAAAAAGCAAATCGGCATACTAACCTATGACATTTTTTGGCAAAATTTTTGTGCTTAGTTTGTTGTCCTTTCCCCGCACCTCCGATGAGCATGGTTGGCTCTGTATGGTGTGAAAGAAGTTCAACATACACACCAATATGGAAACTCGCTAAATAACCTAACCAACATGGAAACTCGCTAAATAATGTAACCCAACATGGACACTCGCCAAAACACGTTCCTTCGGAGTGGGCAGGTAGGAACTTGGTTGGACAGCGCATTCATGCACGACAGACAGACAAATACTCCCTGGTGGGCAAGTGTGGAACCTGTTGTTCCTACCTGTATGTATAAAAGATAACTTGACTTTAGGTAGCCAGGCAGACAGCCCCCTTAACTATCGCCCCCACACCCCCACTAAACACACACACGCACACCCCCACTAAACACACACACTCACACCCCCACTAAACACACACACGCACACCCCCACTAAACACACACACGCACACCCCCACTAAACACACACACGCACACCCCCACTAAACACACTCACACCCCACTAAACACACACACCCCCACTAAACACACACACGCACACCCCCACTAAACACACACGCACACCCCCACTAAACACACACACGCACACCCCCACTAAACACACACGCACACCCCCACTAAGCACACCACCCCCCCACTAAACACACACGCAGACCACCACTAAACACACGCACACCCCTACTAAACACACACACGCAAGCAATCGTCCACAATCTTCCTCGCTCGCCTCAGGGTCCTCAAGGTGTGCAGGTCCTCAAGGGTTGGTAGATTACAGCCAATCACCTTCTCAGCAGTGCGGATGATACGCTGCAGTCTGCTCTTGTCCTTGGCAGTGGCAGCAGCGTAACAGATGGTGATGGAGGAGGTGAAGATGGACTCAATGATGGCTGTATAGAAGCGCACCATCATTGTCTTTGGCAGATTAAATTTCTTCAGCTGCCGTAGGAAGTACATCCTCTGAGCTCTCTTGATAAGGGAGCTGATGTTCAGTTCCCACTTGAGGTCCTGGGAAAGAATAGTGCCCAGGAAGCGGAAGGACTCCACATTGTTGACTGGGGAGTCGTACAGGGTGATGGGGGTGAGTGGGGCTGTATTCTTCCTGAAGTCCACAACCATCTCCACGGTCTTAAGAGCATTAAGCTCCAGGTTGTTCTGGCTACACCAGGTCACCAGGTTGTCAGCTTCCCTCCTATAGTCAGACTCATCCCCATCAGAGATGAGCCCAATGAGGGTGGTGTCGTCCGCAAACTTCAAGAGTTTGACGGACGGGTGACTGGAGGTGCAGCTGTTGGTGTACAGGGTGAAGAGCAGAGGGGAAAG